CTCTCTCTCTCTCTCTCTCTCTCTCTCTCTCTCTCTCTCTCTCTCTCTCTCTCTCTCGATGTTCTTTTCCAAGCCCCTTGCTCAGTGCTTCTCTCTGATTAACTGTCCTTGAATTCCTGCACAACTTTAATACATGTGCTCAGTCTTCCATCAGATGCTGCTATGTACCAGTCCCTCTGCCCATAGCCCCAGCCTTCTACTTGCTTTGCCCATTGCGTCCTATCAGTCCTTCAAGATTCAGCTGAGTCTTTGCTTCACTGGGAAACTCCTGATCTTCTTATGACTGGTCATTCTCCAGTATGTCCTTCCATCACAGTGGTTATCTCCCTGCATTGTTACTGTCTTTCCCCTTGTCTGCTCAGCTTCATTCCCCAGACAGTCTCTCAACATCTTGAGCACAGGCACTAGATCTTACCTATCACTTAATCCAACTTCCTAGAACAGTGCACAGCTGAGTACAAAGTAGATACATAAATATTTGCTAAAAGAATTAAGGCATTTACTAGTTAACTAAAACAATTGTTTTTAATCTGGGGTCTAAGGATTCATATGAGACCATGAAAGGGATTGGGGGAAGGTACAAATTCCTTGAAATGAGATGCAAAATTTTGAATACTTATGCATTTTTTAGGATAGAGAATCCATAGCCTATATCAGATTCTTAAAGGGATTTGTAACAGAGACAAATTTTGAAAACCACTGAAACACAAGGGGTGACCAATGTAAGACAACACACATTCCACAATATTTTCCAGCCAATTTCCTATTTCAATGAAACTACGTTACACTGATTGTAAGACTCACCATTATTTTATGCAACACTAAGAAAAATAAGCAAAGATTTCGACCTGCTGCTAAGATATTATCAGTTGTAACACACGTTCCTGTTTCAGAGAATATGAAACATGAGAAATGATGAAATATGGTATCCTGTTCAGGGTCCCATCCTTCCTTTCAAAGGTCCTTGAGATGGCGTGGTAGGGTAGGTAAAACAGTGCCCCTCAGTGCAATTCAGACAAATAGACAATCACAGCTCTGCCACTTGCCACCATGGGGATGTTGGGCAAGTCTGCTTGCCTCTCTGAGCCTCAGTTTCCTCATGTCCAGAATGGAGAGAACTATGCCTGCCCCACAGGGTAACTGGACGGATTAACTAAGACAGAGTTCATACAGTGCTTGGCTTTTAGACTTCTGAGGACCACCACTTCCCTTACACCCAGCCACATGCACAGAATAAGAATTCACTCACCTGAAGTCCTTAGTCACTGTGAGCATCTTAGGTCATTAATTATTCTGCCTGACATCTCCCAGCTTTGCCACCTACTCTCATAATTTGGGGGAGATGTCTAACTCTATCTGCCATCCTGGGTGGAGCATGTGCCGTTGGGCTTGGGATGATGAGGTTTTTTGTTCGCCCCCCAACCCCCACCCCGAGTCTGTTTTGCTCTGTGTTTACGCATCTGAATTGCTGACCATCGTAAAAATATAGATAATTTTTAAAGTTTCATTTTGCTTTTCACAACGAATTGATCTATACATAGTGACAACTTCCCTTTGATGTCATTTGCATTGCCCACACTCCATACTCCTGCATGAAAGAAGGGCTTTCCTTGTTTCCTTGTCCTTCCTGAACTCCTGGGTGGACACTTTCTGCTGAGATATTTGTTAAATACTGAGACATTCTTCCTGTCTCCCATGGCAGGGAGA